TTTGTGTGTCTCGCTGGGGTGGTGGTTTTTTGGTGTGTGTGTTCCCCCCCCCCCCCCCCCCCCCCAACGCGCGAAATTTAAAAAGGCACAAAGCGCGAAAGCCGCCAGGGGAAACTTGGTACATTTGAGACCCATCATTTGCCACCAATTCCGCGCCAAATATTCGTCTTTTCGCGCAAACAAAAGTCTCTGCCTTCTTCACAATAACCCACCAGTGATATATTTCCCCCTGCCCCACCTGCCCACCTCCGTAATGCACCACCGCCTGCCTCGCTAGCCCCATCAGCATGCCATCCGTCACGCGCGCCCGGTCGCGCCCCAGCTCGTCGCGCGAGCTAGCCACGGACCCGATCGAGCACTCGTCCGACTCGGGCTTGGTCATGCCGGAGTCTCACATCCAAGGTATCGACGACGCCCCCAACCTCGACGCCGCCTGCCGCAAGCGCACCCGCATCTTCCCGCTCGATGAGGACGGCGACGAGATCCTCGACCAGCACAGCTCCTTTGTCGTGCCCTCCGTCGCGCGCCGCCACGAGAGAGGCTCCTTCGGCGGCGTCGACTCGCTGCTCGCGAAGCGCACGAAGAGGCTCCAGGAGGAGCGCGAGACGGGGAACAGACGCTCCACCAAAGACAAAAAACGCCCGGCGAGGAGCAGGAGGGAGGGGAGCAGACTCAGCAAGCTTATTGCGAGATGTAATACTGACGAGGAGGTCGCCGAGTTAAAAGCCGCCTGGGAGATTCCGGCCGGGAGGCGGAAAGTCTGCGCCTTGACCGGCTCCTCGTCAGAGGAAGATAACGATGACGCCCCCCCGGTTAGGCGAAGGAGGACTAGGGGGGCCAAGAAGGATGCGCACCAGCCACCGGCAAAGAGGAGGAGAAGGACAGCTCGCGCAATTCTCGACAGCGAAGACGAGGGCGAGAAATCTGTACATGATGATCAAAATGACTCTGATAGGGAAAGTGAGGAGACTCCGAAGCGGCGTGGGAGGTCAAGCGCAGAGAGCAGAAGGCTCCGAAAGGAGAGACCTTCGCGACAGGACCGTGGGAAGAGCGTTCCACTGCCGAAATCGCGTGGAACTCTCATGGAGAGGCTCAGCTCGAGAGCAGCCGTGCCAAGTAATGGTACCGAGAAGCGGAGACTCACTCGTGCCGCTGCTGCCAAAATGAAGGAGGCTGCAGGGCGGGAAAAGCCGGGCACGCGAGGTAGGAGACGTAACAGGCGAGATGAGGTCACGGAATTATCCGATTCGGAAGAGGACATCGAAGCTGACTGTGAAGTGGCGAATGGGATGCTGAGCGACTCATCGAATGAAGGGGAAGAGGACGTTGGCGCTATGGAAGCTGAGATACTTGCTGGCGAGGAAGATGACCAGTCGGACTTGGATTTCGTAGACGAAGAGCCCGCGCCCAGCCCCCGAAAGAGACGGAACAACAGAAAGACGCAGAAGAAGAAGAACAACCGACGCAAGAGAACCCGCCCGAAGAATGCCTTCGAGTCCAACGTTGAGGAACTCTCTGCGAGAGAGCAACGGCAAAGGCTCGACTTTTTGGTCAAGCAGAGCGCAGACATCGCACGAGAGCTGCACAAGGCGATGGCTGATGCTGCCAACGAACGTCCAAACGGTGGACCAAAGTCTCCAGCTCGCAAGGGAGATTCGCAGGCAGCAACAGGAGACACCTCAGGAGTGGAAGTTGTGCAGGAGTCTTCGCAGTCGGCGCCGGTAGTGGAAGAGGAGTTTGCGCAACCGACTGCCGAAGGGAAAAAGCTTCAGCCACATCAAACAGATGGTGTCAAGTGGCTTCTCACACTTGACGCCCAAGGACTCAACGCGATTTTGGCGGACGAGATGGGGCTTGGGAAGACTATTCAGACTCTGGCGTTTTTGGCGTCGCTTGTCATTAACGGAAAGCGGGGTCCCCATTTAGTCGTTGCACCAAAAAACGTGTGCGAGCATTGGGCTGCCGAAGTGCGTGCTTGGTACCCTGGTCAGATTAATATCGTGACCTATTTGGGCCATGCCGAGGAACGTCTTGAAAATATGAGGGACTATCTTGAGGAGGACAATTTTGATATCATGGTAACTAGTTTTGAAGTTGCCCTTCGAGACCTGTTCCATCCCAAACGACATGTCGAAGGCGTTTTTGCGCCGTATTCGAAGGTGCTCCGTGCGTTTCGGAAGGTCGAGTTTGAATATCTTGTTGTGGACGAAGCCCATCGCCTAAAGAACGACAAGTCACAGATGAATATTGGAATTCGTAATTACAAATGTGCACAACGCAGACTGCTTCTAACAGGCACTCCTCTTTCGAATGATCTCAAAGAACTCTGGTGTTTGATGAACATTCTCAATCCGAAGATTTTTAGTAGCAAGGCGAGATTTGAGACATGGTTCTCTGCTCCTTTTGAATCCGGAAGGGGGTCGAGAAAAGGGGCAATGACTCACGCGGAACAATCTGCTATTGTCGATCGGCTGCACACTATCATTAGACCGTTCTTCCGGCGCAGGGTACGAGCGGATGTATGTCCGTCGTTCACGTCGGCGGATGAGATTTTGATCCGATGTCCGATGAGTAATTTGCAAAAAGCTCTCATGCTACACTTTCGACGACGTGCAGACGATAAGGATGCCTCCAAGAATAACATACTAATGGCTATGCGAGGAGTAAGTAGTCATCCGTACATGTCGTCGCATGCACTCTACGATGGAGAACAATCCCAAGCCACTCCCAGACTCGTCTCCACGTGCGGAAAGTTTGCTTTCTTACATTACAGTTTGCCACGTCTTCTGGCTGGAGGACATCGCGTGCTGATTTTCTCTCAGTTTCGTAGAGCACTCGACTTTTTAGAAGACTTGATGGACCTTCTTCATATCAAGTACGGCAGACTTGATGGTATGACAACCTCCGAGGATCGAATTGCAGGATTGCGAGCGTTTAATGCACCGGGGTCTGAGCTTCAAGTGTATTTGTTGTCAACAAGAGCTGGTGGAGTTGGTATCAATCTACAAACTGCAGACACGGTCATTCTGTTTGACTCAGATTGGAACCCATCTGCCGATCTTCAGGCTGTCTCCAGAATACAGCGCATTGGGCAAACCAGAACGGTGCATATTATGCGGCTGTTGACTGAGAATGCCGTGGATAGTATCATTTTAGAGACTTCGAAGCGAAAACTGAGAACTCAAGCAGTAGCGGTTGGAGCTGGAAAGTTCAACACATCCAGTGGAGCTGCATTGGATCAAAAGTTGAGGCAGAAAGATCTGGAGCAACTCATACAAGAGCTTGATATACAAGCGTTTTTGCCCATCGAAGCTGATGACGAAGTCACTGTTGTTCCGACAGCGCAGAGCAGTCCGGAATCCATATCCCCAGATAGTCTGGAAAAATCTGTACGGGAAAAGTATTTCAAAGAATGGTCCCGGCAATTGCTTAGGCCAGGTGAAACGGAGCTGCCTGATGTTGCACAAGCGGCTATTTGGTTGGATTCTGTCGAGGATTGCGCTGGATGTGAGGTTCCGAAGTGGTTGGGGAGGGATGCCGTTCTTGTCGCGGCTGGAAGAGCACTGGAATGCATGAATCGATTTGCTGCGGCTCAAGTTTACGAGGATACTGTTCAATCGATTGCTCTAGTTGGGGCGTTCAGCAAAAAAGACAGGGCGAGCCGTGCGCGAAGAAAGACTGTGGCCGACACGTTCTTCGATTTGGGGTCCGATGGTGACGGTGACGAAGACCCGAGCGAGGACCCCACGATAAGCATTGAGCAACCATCGGACGTTAGCGACGATGAATACTTTGAAGCAGAAGATGGCCAAAGAAATGATGGTGAATATTTGGAAGCAGAAGATGGCCAAAGAAAGAAACCCGATGGGAAGCCTGGAAGCGTTGTTACTCCATCTCCGCTGAAACCCCCAAGTGCTGTCAACGGTCAATTGTCATCGCCTACAATCACGGGAGGCCCAAGAGTAGGCACTGAACAGACACCCGGCATAAGCAAGTCAAGGTCGGGACCGACTATGTTTCCGAGCACAGGCATATCGCCAAACCGCCAGACACCAGCTTTGCAAAACTTGATCTCACCGCAAGTCTCTGCCGGAGGGGTTCCCGTCCCGGGGCCGGGGCAAGCTCTAAAAGCGTTGCCAAATTCCTTGCACGGAATTCAAGCAAGTATGCAACCCGTGAAGTCAGCCTACGCACAACGCCCTCTGGTGCCTCGCTCCACAAGTGCTATTCAGTATCTGGCTCTGGGTAGTAGAAATACTGGAGCACAGGCATCTCCGCGACCTGCTCTCCCACAGGTTAAATCCGTTTCCAAACCAAGACGAACAGCAAAGAAAAGCCCGGCGGAATCACGGCGACCCAGAGTCACTGGCAGTACTGGGCTCCCACAAGCTGTGACTCCTTTGAGGAATATGTCAGCCTTTCGAAAGACACCTATTCTTCCCAAACCGATGTACATGCCGATCCACATGCGATATCCCGAGGTTTCGCACCCCATGGTTTCACCCCCGTTAATGCGTGGAATTCAGGCACAGCATGGAAATGCCAGACAGGGAGGTGTGAAAACTGCACATTCGCAGTCGCCTGGGGAAGGGCGACGTCAAAACTACGCCTCTGGACTGGTTGAAACAAATAGAATGGTAGGCAAGGGAGCAGGCTTGGGTGCCATACAAGGTACAGCGCCACATGGAGCTAGGTTTTTGTCACATGGCATGCCCACCGCGGCGTTAGGGCATAGCGCACCAACTGGTGCGACGTCGGCATTTCCCAGCCCGCCATTGCAGAGAAGTTTCAGCAATGCTACGGCATCAGTTCAAAACGGAACCAGGGTGTCGAACGTGCAAGCCCATGTGATAAGACCAGCATGGACAGGCGCACCACTGGATTCCACGACGTCGTTTCAGAGACATCGGAAGGATGCTATCCCTTTGGTTGCAATTCCAACGGGAGGCGTCGGGACGGTACCAGCACCAGCAGCGCGGCAAAGTAATGGTGCGCTTCAGGGCTCAGCGGGTAGTGTCGGAGTGGCGAGCGCTGTGGGGCAGCAAATTTTGGCAGCGCCATATGGTGCTCGAATGGAGGGATTGGGCGGGACGCCAGGGACACTTGAAAGAAGAAATAGTTTGTCTGATCCCGCCCGCGATGGGAATGGACTTATGTGGCGACCATACAGCGCTGCTGCTGCTGCGACTGGCTCTGCGACTGGCTCTGCGACTGGCTCTGCGGCTGTTGCTGCGGCTGCGGCTGCGGCAGGTGCCCCGAAGGGCAGCGAAGTAGATGGCAAGTCGATGGGTGGCAGACAACGAGGCAAGGCGGGAGAGACGCTGAGATCACCCGCTGGTGCGATGGCGTCTGCTCGGCTTGCGGCGATAGTTGCGGATGCGCCACGCGTGCAAGGTGAAGCAGCAGATCAGGGGTCTCCGCTGTTTAGCCGGAACCCGCGGACGATTGGGCGGGGAGGGGGCTCTGCCAGGCGGGTGCTGTCCCTGGGTGGTGCGGTCGAAACGGACAAGGTTTACTCGGTCAAGGACCTGCAAAGGTACATGAAGAGTGTGGAACAGCGGCACGGGACGCGCGGGGTTACGGCAGAGACTTTCGGGGCGCTCGTCAAGCAGCTGCAGGACGCGACCAAGGTTAACGACATCGACTTTCTCGCGGACGCGCTGCTCGAGAGCGGGTGTAACATCGGGGACGCGGCCGACTACATCTACCAGCGGATCTCTTAAAAATAGAAATGACTTATATAACTTATTATTCACTGGAGCGATTGCAAAACGGAAGCCTTAACTTGCTGTGTACGGTACGCAGTGGCGAGTTGAGGGGGCGTCAAGGTGGGGAGAATGGGGAGAATGGTGAACGAAGCGTCAGGAAGGCGGCAGCCTGCACAGTGGGCGGACGCGTTGGAACTTTGTTTACAAAAAATAGGGATGAACACGTTGCGGTGACACGGTCTCTACGCTAATCTAAAGCAAGGGGCACGGGGGGAGAAAGGGCGGGGAAAAAAAAGACGACTGTCATTGCGGGCACGGTGACGAAGGGGCATCTCGACGGGGGTCTACGCGGCTGGGAGGTACGGCTGGAGGCGTTCCTCGAGCCTCTTGACGCCGAAGGGTCCGGTGGTGAACTGGTCGAGGGGCTTGTTCTCTGCGGTCATCCCGGCGGCGTAGACGCGGAAGGTGGGGAGCAGTGTGACGCCGAGGTCGCGGCACAGGGGCTTATTCTCGCCCTCTGCAAAGTCGACGCGGCGCCACGCGACGTTGGGGAAGCGGGCGGCGACGCGCGGGAGCAATGCGCCCAGCGTGCGGCACACGCGGCACCAGCGCGCGTGGAAGAGCACGACGACAAACGCGTGCGGCGGGGCCGGCGCCGCCAGCGCCGCGTCCAGCGCGGCCCGCCCCAGCACGGCCGGCGCCAGCGCCGCCAGGGCGTCGCGCTCAGGCGGCGCGCGCTCCGGCGGCGCGCGCTCCG